GGCTTACCTGATGAGTACAATGGCTGCTTCTGTCGGTACCCCGTACCATGAGGATGGTACCCAGGTACCGTGGGTTCGGTACCCCGTACCGTTAAGGGTACCGTTGGGTACCTAAACTGGGTACCCCGTACCGTTTGGTTTGTGTTTTCATTTAGGATTGATTTCGAGACTTTACATATTCCATGTCAGTAAACGTGGGTGCCTGCACCCAGTGTTAGGCCACTGTGTGATCGTGTTAGATATATTAATAATCCCTTGATGTTTTATAGATGTTGTATGATGAACTATTAATCAATGTTGGACATATCACCTAGAAAAACTCTAGGGACTCACTTGAATGGATAAGTGGCAAGGTATGTCAAAAGTATAGTAAGTTAGATCCATGTGGTACCTGCTGGGTCCAATGGCTTTCCGGGTAAAAATGTATGCACGGGGGTCTATGAACTGTCGTTTCGAAGGGAATTGGGATCTCACCCACCCAACGAGGAACTCCTGAGTTGGTTTGAGCTTGACCTTCGTTTTGAAGGGGGAGGTCATGACTCCCATATACAACTTGAGATCAGTTAAGCTTAACCTATCATATGCTAAAAGTCAAGTATAATTAAGAAAGAAAGTAAATTGAATAAGCAAGAAAGTACTTAGGCTTTGTATCATTGTATGATTCTATCTTATGAGCTATTATGATATTTTTGTGTATGTTTATGTGCATGATATCGTATGGTGATAAAGGCTAGTGAGATCATCTATAGGTATGTTAGATATTTCTCACTTAGCTTCAATGCTAAGCGTGTAGCGTTTATTCTTTTGCTGCACGTACGTAATCCAGGGAATGAGGAACTTTTAGCCAATCCCAGAGGGCGATCAGGATGAGGAGATGTGAGTGGCTGTCCTTGATGATTTGAATTATTGCTTATCATTTAAATAACTTATTACTTTTACGCGCATGAGTCCCAAGTTGTATTTGATGACTTAAGCTTCCAAATATGTTTTGATTATTACTTCGATGTATGTCAAATTATGTTTTGAAGTATTACCTAAATTGTAACGCCCCGAAAATAGGCTTATCAGTATTAATTAATTGATAATTAATTATTGAGAAGGACCCAAAAATAAGTGATTTATAAAGTTTATTAATAAATAATCAAAATTAAATCATTATGTAGAGTTTGACTATCTCACCACAACGGTTCAATTGGAACGACGTGTGAATCTCGCAAAACCTGATTTCCACCGTTTGATGATCGACTAATTGATTCCTGACTCAACATCTTTGTCATCTTCTCCATCACCTTCCTATATAAGCAATACTCACCCATTCCATTTCTTCACCAAATCATCTTATTCTTCTTCTTACTTTGTTGCACTAAGTGCGAGGAGTGTTGTGGTGCTGTCAATTTGGTGTGAAGTCTCTGGAGCTAGTTATAAACCTTGCCGGAAGTTTTGCCAAAAAATTCTCAAAACCTTCATTAAGCTTTGAGGTAAGCCCGTAGGTATATCTAGTGACTAGAATGTTCGTATAGATCGTTTCTACGTTCATAAATGATCGTTTGGTTGATTTTAGTGTTTGACATGCTTTAAGAACCAAGAATCATAAACCTTGGTATTGTTGTTAAAACTACGAATTGATGATACCAAAATGATCTATGAATCTTGGAGAACATTTCTATATAGTTTAATTGAAGTTTGGTAACTAAAAATGGTATTTTCGAAAATGGACCCGAGGAAGAATACGATGAAATAGTAAATTTTTGCAAAATAAGTCAAGTTGATCGATCCATCCCACTGGATCGATCCCCTAAGAGTAATATCTCTATTGTGGATCCATCCTATGTGCTAGATCAATCATTCGAAAAACATTTTTGAAAATGCTATTTTTGAACTCTAAAATCTTAGTTTTGATACCAATCAATTATGATAAATATAAAGAGGATTTTTAACAATACAAATGATGTTTTTTAAAAATAAAATCTTATTCGATGCATGATGGTAAGCTGGGGTGTTAGCACTCGAAGCTAGGCCGCTATTTGATATTGGATGTTATGTTGATTGATGATTATGATGAATATTATTGATTTATTATTATGATTATTAAGCTTTAATATTTTGATTTAAGAAATGTTTATAAATTATTAAATCATGACTAAAAATGGATATATTGATGATCACGAAAATAATGTGTAAAGTTAAGGATATCTAAAAGAACTCTAAGACATAGCCATTTGGAAATTATGATGACTATTAAGGATATCTAGAAGAACTCCAAGATATTCCTACGTGACCAATTCAGAAATTTGGAGTTAAAACATACGCACGTGATCCAAACAGGGTATCACCCTCCTGACAGTTCACTGTTCGGTTGGTACATGATCCACAAGACTCATATGACAGAAGTTTGAGCGCCTGGCTCTGTTTGCACCTACGCTGGTATCCACACGAGCAGATCACATCGAAGAGCTCCAGAAGAGACTACATCTTGACGTTCGACCATATGTATCCATAATGACCACCACTGACTTCTCCGATGCATACAACATGATGGTAAAGTGTTATACCCCTGGATGGCTCCACCCAAAATACCAACCCCTCCCAAATATCCAAAAGTAATTTATTTCCTTTTGATATCCAAAATAAAGATCTTCCTACTCTTATTTTAGCCCAGGGCCAACAATAAGAGTATGTAAAATAAAACCTTTTGTTTGTTGTTATTTTCCTTTTTTTAAGCCTTTTATTAAGCCAATAAAACCCTTCCTTTATTCCATTCACCCCTGGCTAAAATACACTTTACAATCCCAACATAAACACCCACAAAGAGCCAAAACCCTGACCCACCACTTGCCACTCATTTCCTGCCCATATTCTCTTACACATAACCCAAACCTATAAGTCCAAAAACCACACATTATATCCCCCATCCCTGCCCCCAGTTATTAACCAAAAACAACCCCCATTTTTACCTAAATAATAGCCACAAAAACACAGGAAACAACCACTGGGAACCAAAACACAAACCCCCACAACCCCCAGCCCCATCCCTGATTTTATCCCACTAAGGAGACAGGTTTGAATGGAGAATGCCCCATGCTTTGAGAGAGGATGTTGCTAGGAAGCTTCCTCATGTTCACATTCATTGCATTGTGTATTATTTCCCCCTTCCCCCTGCCTATATAAATCAGGCCCTATGGCCAAATGTAACACAATCTCAATATTGAAAACCTTTTACTCTTTGAGTATTATTAAAATAGTGCGATGCTATTTTAGCCAAATTCCTAATTCTATATCTTAAGAATGGTTATCTTAAGTGTGAGTTTTAGGTTCTAGATGTTTGATTAAGTGTGTCATATCTTAATTAAATTCTAGATTCAAACCTCAAGTTAGGATAAGAGTGTGTAATATCTCTTAAACACCAACTTGGTTTATCCATCATTATTTTCTATCCATTTCTTTTCCCACCATTTCTATCCTTAATCTCCTTTCTTTCCTTATATTGAAAATACCAAAAGAACTCCTTCATCATCTCTATATATTTCCAGTCCATTCTCCCACAAAAACACCCTTCTTCCTGCCCAGAATTCTGCTAAATAATCGATTATCATTCCCCACAATCGATTATCAATTCCATTGGAAACACTTGCAGGGATCAATAATCGATTATCCTTTTCAGATAATCGACTATCACTCTTTCCCTAAAATCTACAGCCTTCAATAGTCGATTGTCACTTTGTGTAAATCGATTATCACCTGCTCCAGAATCCTGAACTCAAGTTGCATCATCCCTTGATTCCTCCTCAAAATAACAACTCGTTTAGACCCCTAGTTCGGGTATAACATAAAGGCAGAGAAGGACGTGGATGACCTCAACGCAAGTCTAAGTACGGGAGAGGAGGACCTAGTCACCGACCAGTGCGGCACCGAGCAACAATGGGCCATTTGGGGGTACTTAGGGTACCCAAAACTCCAAGAAACCCAAGTCCGCACTGGCCTAGTCGCAGTCGACGAGTAACAGAAACAAACCCTCAAGGCACCATGTATGCAATTTATGTGGAAGAAACCATCCTAGTGACTGCTCGTTCACGCATGGCATATGCCTAGGTTATGGGAAAGTGGGATAATTCCATAAGGGTTGCCCTACTTATCTAGGACCAGCCTTCCCCACAGTCGAAGTTTATACGCAGACAGCTGGATAGAGGCCTGCGTAGAGCCAGAGACCGACAACAAGTTCGAACCCGCAGATAGGCCAGAATCAGAATCGGGGCCAAAATCGTTAGTAGGGACGTACTCCTGCACTCAACTACGCCATGCAAGGGCGTACCGAAGTCAACCGTGAGGTCATCAAGGGTATGTTTTTGCTATTTGGTACTCATATTCTTGCAATAATTGATCTAGAATCCACGATGTCGTATATTTGCAACCCTATGCCTGAGAAATCTGACATTCAGAGAGGCGATCTAGAGTATCCAATGGTAGTATCTAACCCGTTAGAGCACATCATGCGACTGCACCATCTATACTGCAACTGTATGTTGATGGCTCAAGGACACCGACTGTCTGCGAATCTAATCGAGTTACCATCAAAGACTCTGTTTATTTGACAAAAAAAGTCAAAGCAAGAAGAATTTTCAAAGATGTAAGAAGTATATTTTAACTAATTGTATTTATTGCAAATTAATACTTCCTCCGTCCACCTAAGATCTTCCCATTGCTCGTTACGAGGCTTGACCGACTTTATTTTCAATTCAATTTATTTGAATAAAGGGGTAAAATTTTAATATAAAATTAATGTAGTAATAAACTACACGAAAAGTTCTACAAAATTAGAGGTGACAACATTATATTATCTTATGAAATGAGTAGTAAAAATAAACAAGTAAAATAAATTAAGTTTGACCTTGTGAATAGTGTCTGAAAAGATTATGTTGACAGAGTAATATTTTCTCGCAATTCATAGTAAAAAATGGTAATGATTCGATAAAAAAATTAACATAAAAAGAGTTTCCTGGATAAGAAAGTAGGGAGTACTTTTATCATCCGACCGGAATATCAGAAGAGGGAACTATACGACCCCGGGCTCATATAGAGTACTCCCTCATTCGTATACCGACCTTCGTCAAATCAACCAACAGGGCACAGGCAGCGGCTCAAACTTCCGAACGAAAACGCATAAAAGGAAATCATGGGCGGTAGAAAGTCGAAGAAAATAGCTATCACCGCCGAATTCTGATCGCAGTCTGTCCACCCTTCCGTTCCTTGATTTTATCTAGGTTGGTAAGTCGGTGGCTTTGTGTTTTTATTTGTGAAAATGAATGTCGTATTTTCATTTGATTTCGGATGATTTTCATTAAATTATACTGTAGATCATTACATTTCAAATTATTCAAATAATAGGTAAATTTGAAATTAAATTACAGTAAGATTGAGACAATTGTTTGTGTAAGTTTACGGTTCACATGAATATATTAATTTATAGAGAAAAATCGAACTCTTTGGAAATTGGATGGTCTAGAACATTTAAAATGATGCATGGTTGGTCCCTCTTAATATGTACGAAAAACTAATATTAAAAACTAAGTGTAAAGACTAAATTGCCTTCCCCCTTCTCATATTGTCTGGTTCCCCGCCGCTGTCAACACGTACTGCAGTCTAAATATCTGCCCAAACTTGGATCAACTATTATTTCTAATCTAAATGCTTAATAAATCATAAAATAAAAAAAGAAACAAAAGCAAAACAAGTTACCCCGTATGGAGTATATGAGAAGGGGGAGGGCAATTTAGTCTTTACAATTAGTTTTTAATATAATTTTTTTGTATATATTAAAAGGGACCAACAGTGCGACATATTAAATTGTTCAGGAGTATTTGGTACACTTTTTAATGTTCAGGGGTAAATCGTGCAATTTTCAAAGAATTCGAAGGTAATCAGTGCACTTTTTCCTTAGTTTATAGTTTATGATTATACTGAGTACTAATAATTCATAGGAATTTTGTTGCAAAGAGCAAAAATATTAAACTAACATAAAGCAACAAAGATTTTAAGAAATTAAATCTAGTGAGGATGGTTCCAATTTGAATCCAAATGGTCCTATGTCTTGGGATCAACCATTAAAATAAGTTATGGTTAAGTATGAACAAGTCATTGAAATTCTGTGAGTAATGGTTAAATGATTCTCTAGCAACACATGTAGAGAGCAAAGTGAGATGTTTTTTCCCATATGATTTATGATGATTTTATAATTGAGCACTTTCAATATTCACTGTTTGAAGCCTAGAAGAATACGAGGGTAGACAATGTAAACTAGGTTGTGTTTGTTGGTTTATGAATGTTTAGAATATGTTTAGAATACTATTCTAACAATATATACTAACTGCTAATATTAGAACAATTTTTAAAATATATATACGTCCTCTTTTGTTCTAAATTAACGCCACAATTTATGTTTTTTAAGTCAAATTTCATTAATTTTGATTTTAATTTCAGAAAAGTTATATTACTCCCTCTATTCATAAAGTAGTTCCACATTTTCTTTTTGTTCTGTGCTAAAAGATGGTTCCACTTTCCTCTTAATTATACAACTTTGCGGTTTACCTATTTCTCCCTCCTCCGCATAAGTCTCAACCACGCAATTTTAGCTTTCGTAAGAATTGTGTTGCAAAAATATGAAACCTTATTTTGGAAGTATATTTTAATATGGATGCACTTGTGACCAGTTTGTATTAGGAGATGTGCTTTAATTTTTTATAAAATTTAAAAAATGGAGCGATGTGACACTTTGAACTTTCAGTTCTTACTTCCTACAAAGTTTTTTGTAATCCATGCACTAAAGCATCAAGGGTCTTACACAACTTCTCTGTTTGTACGAGGTAAGATTGCATACATGTTGACCCGCCAAACCCTCATGAAGTTCATAATTGATATCATAAAGGGATTATTATTTTGAACACTTTATGTTAGTACATATTATGGTAAATAATTGTGGTCAATGATGATGGGCATCATAGACCATTTCGTAGTTGTTATCAATTAATCGAAGGAGTTGGTAGTTATAAATTTGGTTAATAAAACATAAGACTATACAAGTATTCTACGTGGAGTATTCTAATATTTTGAATAATTTATATTAGTACATAATTGTTGGTAATAATTGTCAATGATGATGGACATTGTAGACCATTTAAACGATGAAGTTCATTAATCGACGAAGTTAGTAGTTATCATTTTTTTCAATTAAACCCAAGACTACGAGTATTCTACTTGTCGATACACAAAGCATCCTTGCTTAGTGAGGGTTTGAGGAAAGATCTCACCATATACACTAATTGTATTTCTGCAAGAGGTCTCTTTCAGTACTTGAATCCTTGACTTCAAGGTCACATGCAAACACCTCAACTGGTCTACCAAGGCTCTGTTTCATGTAAGGTGTGAAGTAGAACTCCACGAACTGATTTATTTTGCATATTTTCCTGTCCTCTCATTTAATAAAGCTGAGCTGATGTAATGTGTTTAATCAATCTGTGCACTTCTCTATCTTTGAGTAAATGCTGCTGCTCTTTTGATCTTTTCCTTGTGTTTTCAATAGCTGTATTTATTATGGGTTTTCGTTAAAATTTTTTTTGATTTGTATTGCAGTCAAGAGATATATAGTGCAATTGGTTATAGTAGGGCCACTGGATGTTAAAGCTGAAAAAGAGCCATGAGTTTTGATCTGGTGGATATTATACCGCGGGATGTCAGATTCACATGTAAGATGTAAATCTAGCCTATCATTAAATTTTTATACCACTTGTGGACAAACAAAAACAAAAAATGATCATGGATGCAAGAGATTGTGTTGTTAATTAAGTAAATTTTCCAGGTTCAATGTGTAGTATTACTCTGTAGTTTATTTGCTTCAGTGAAGCTGTGCAAGTAGTGGCTGTGTTAAATTGTTAATGGATATTCTGCACGCAAATGCATATCAGATAATGTACGAGTATTAGTCCCTACCGTTTCTTCATTAGCTGCTCTTACTTATGCTAGAAACTGTTGAATGCATGCCTAATGTCCCTTGTGCACAGCCGAGAGGTCTCTGCTGATAAAGATGATGGCTTACAGGGTTCCAATCATTTATCCGTTAGAGTAACAAGACTCCATGACCTCTATGCTCCTTAGTTACTTCTAGATGATTATTAATAATTAATGAAAGGAAAAAAGGATACAAATAGGCAAAATTCATACAAGTAGGGTTTGACCAGAACACAACTTAGAAAAGCTAGATGATAGGAAACTACTAAAAGGAAACTATTAGTACTAATTATAATAAGAATAATAAGCTAATATTAATAACTATCCGATGAAATCCTAGATCAGTCATGACAATTTTAATTGATATTTTATTTGCTCCATCCTTCTGTAGTTGAACCAAGGAAGCAAAGTTCATGCTCTATCCGCCTAGCCAATAAGTCTGACAAGTGTGTTGCTTTTAAGGTAACTAGTACTTTTCTTCAGACATGTAATTACTATTAGAAGTAAGAAGTTTGTTGTATTCAAGTTAGATTTTTATTAGTTTCTTTGTTGGAATTTGAACAGGTCAAAACTACGAATCCAAAGAAGTATTCTGTTCGGCCAAATGTGGGAATCTTTAGTCCTAAGGCATCACGTGATTTCACAAGTAATTTCCTTGTAACTACTTATTATCTCGTTCTTATAGTAATGTAGACATGTAGTCTACCAAAATTCTAACTGGACTTCTTATATAGAGTTGTGCAAGTACTGAAGCAATTGAAAAAGCCCCACCAGACTATATCTGTTAATATTTTTACTCCCTCCGTCCCTCTTCAATCTCCCCACATTGACTTGGCACAAGTATTTAGGAACGTGATAAATATTGTTGACTTTACTAAAATGCCCTCCCCTAAATCCAAATGCTCACCTTAAACACTCCTCCAAGGCTCCACACCGCCTCACGAGTCATGTCAGCCGCCCCCTCCCCCACCACGGCCACCAAATGCTTCCGTCACCGGTGATGCCTCCCACCATGCCGGTGGAAGGGAGTTTTTCTGTCATCGGACGCCTCAGGTCAGTCGCCGCCACATCCCTCCTTATACGTTTTTTCCGCCCTTCTAATTCTCTGCTTTACTTTCTGATTTGCCGTCACTGGACGCAGGGTTGAGAGAAATCGGGAGGGGCAATAAAAGGTGGGTAGGTGGGGTAGTTTCTAGGATGGGGATGGTGGGATGAAATTGGGTAGGAGGGTAGGTGGGGTATTATTTAGGATGGGTTGGGTTGGAGTAAATGTGAAGGGTAATGTAGTCATTTGAAGTGGAGAAAGTTACTAAATTAGGGATGGTGAGAAGATTCAAGAGGGACAACCCAAAATGGAAAGTGGGAAGATACAAAAGGGACGGAGGGAGTATTATAGAAACACCTTTGAAATGATCTATGTGTGAATGATTTTGCTGCAGATATGATACATGATAAGGCTTGGTTGTTGATGTCGTTGTTATAGAACACCTTTGAAATGCAATGAAACATTAACCATGTGTTTGTTTGAGGAGAAATTGGGAGGACAGAACGAGAATGGAAAAACATATAAATTTTTCATGGTTTAGATGAATGGAAAAGGAAGGAAAGAAAATGGGATTTGTAATAAAAAGGTGGGACCTCTCTTTCTTTTTCTCCAACTATGGGCGGAAAACTCCATCCAATGAGCCATTTTTTTTCCACAATTCATTAGAAGTTTATTAATACACCCATAGTATTGGTAAAATTGTCATTTCAATTAATATTTATACTACTTTCTTCTTTTCTTCACTCCCCTTTTTCCTTCCTCTCAACCAAACCAAGTGTAGTTCTGATACTAAGGTACTTTAAACAGGATATATGACATGTACTTAAATTTAGTTCGACGAGGATGTTGGATCATGTGTTCAATGAGGAAGGTACTTAGACAATACATAATGAATTTTATGAATGGTTATTGTGATTCAAACAGTACTAGAAGCGCTTGAACACAACTATGAAATAAAACGAGATTTGGAGGTTCAGTATAAAACATCTTCTACTTTGGAGTACAATAGCGACAACAAACAGCAAATGAATGATCATCCTCGCTCACGAATCTCACGCAAGCTAGCATTCAAATCATAATACTTTCTGCCAGAAAATACATCACTACATTATGCTACAATGGATTCAACATTCTTCTCTAATATCTTGTTGGGTACCATAGGAGCAAGAACTTCAACAGGGTGGAGTCCCCTCCAAAGATACAATTGGCTCAAAACCGTTTCTTTTATTTTTTTCTTGCCACCCCACCCCTAAGCCCCCATTTATACAAAAAAACATTTTGCTTATTTTTCTCATTGAGGACAAGGAAATTTCCAAGAGGAGGATATTGATAGTATACCAATTATAATAATGTTAAGAATCCGGCACATGATATTTATTAATTATTAATTTTTGGAATATTTTATTATATTATATTTTTCATTTGCTGCTGATTTGTAGAATCTAATAAGATTAGGATAAGGTTAGTCTGTTCTCATCTGAGTCATCTCTAATTTTTAGGGATTTCATTTATCTTATTATTCGGATGGAATCAGACTAAAAATAATCTGATCTATGTCTTGTATTTTTCATCATTGAGAAATAAACATATTATTATTGTCAATCGGAGATTCTCCATTGCTGACTATTGAAATTTTTTTAGTGAAATCCTTACTCAAAGCATTCTTAATCGCCTTTGTCCTTATTTTCCCCTTTCAGTTCCACTTTCATTCCTATCAAAACCAGACATACTTGGTATCTTCCTTGGACATACAGTCTAGGGTAAGATATATGCAAATAGAGGCTACTTTTGAGAGGAATTGAATCCAAGTTTTTCATTCATGTTACTTTAGGCATCATTTAGTATCATTTTCTATTTTATGAAAACAATAAACTATATTATCGAAGCCACAAAAAGTAGATTTCGGTTAAATTAACAGTTTTCAAATTTTACATTATTGGTGTAACTGCGAATATTTGCAGTTCATTATACAACATAAATCATACGGAGTATAACTTTAAAAAAACCAAAAAAAAAACTAAAAATATGCAGTCGAACTAGTCCTTAATTAATGATGATCACCATGTCGATGAGTAAAATTAAAACACTGATGCTCTGAAATCCTCGTTGAGGTCATAATACAAGGTTTCCCAACCCTATACATCGGAGTTATATCAACTTGGCTAGTGACGCTTGTCTGAACAATGTCCTTACTCTACTCAATGGAATGTGCCCATTTCATCTAATAAACTGCCTCTAATCAACAGTTCAGCTTCTGCTTGTTCCATCATTGCTTAATTGACATGTGAAAGCCATTCATGCAAATACTAGTTACTTGCTAAATATTAAATAATTAAAATTTGAGTTTTTTGCGTCATTTACCCCCAAACTTTTTATAAATTGCATGTTTTCCCCCGAACTATCAAAAGTGCATAATTAATCCCTATACTTTTCATAAAGTGTGTGTTTTTCCCCCGAACTCCATAAAGCCTTCCCCGAACAATCAAAAGTGCACCATTAGTCCCTATGTTTTTATATAAAACGCGTGCTCTCCCTAAACTTGCAAAAGTGCATCATTAGTTCTATATTTTTAAAAAGGGTACATGATTGAATTCCTAAAAATATCTCTTGTTTGAACAATGTCTTTAACTAAACTTGAATTAAAGAAAAAAATGACTTGGAGTCTTGGAGGACAAAATGCTAATTACTTGTCAAAATGTTTTTCTCATGCCTTTGTTGATACTGCTGCTAGAGCTTGATGAAAACACCATTGATGAACTTTTTTTCTTCAAGAATCTGTAGACATTTGTAGTTTTTTCAAGAAATTATACATGTTATGGTTTCAAAAATTTATCTTTGTTGAGTAGCATCTTTAACCAAAAAACTTTAAAAAAAACAAACTCATCAATGGCGTCTTCACGAAACTCCACCCGCCATTTCAACTGAGGCGTGAGAAGATTTTGACAAGCAGACAATTATCAATTGTGTCGTAGTTTTTTTTTCTTTTTTTTTCAAGTTTGGTTAGAGACGTAGTTCAGGCAAGTGAAATTATCAAGGTTTCAACCATGCACCATTTTTTAAAATATAAGGCTTGAAATGGGGGGGGGGACACAAACTTTATGAAAATTATAGGGACTATTGATGCACTTTTGGAAGTTCAGGGGGGAAAACATGCACTTTACAAAATGTTCGGGGGTAAAGCATGCACTTTTTGAAATGTATAGGGAGTAATGGTACAATTTTAAAAACTCAGGGGGAGAACATGCACTTTATGAAAACTTCGGGGGTAAATCACGCAAAAAAACTCATTAAAACTTTGGGGTTTATGATATTGTCATGTTATGGCCATGTGAAAAAACCATGTGACGGTGATAGTTTTGAAATTTCATTTCATTATCCTTTCGTAAGATGTTATTCACCAGAAACGGCTGAAAGGCATCTGGTGTAAAAAATTTCAACTGTGCTTTTTTGCATGAATTTATATAACTAATACCCCCTCCGTCCCCCTGTATTTGTCCACTTTCATTTTTACACACCATCCAATGCACTTTAATCCATTTTATCTTATAATTTGTATATTAAAAAATTATAAAAATTATATATTAATAATCTATATGTTAAGACAAATCAAACAAGATCACACATGACTATTTAGGCTTACACATTGAGAAAATTTGATGAGTCAAATGTGGACAAATACAAGGGGACGGAGGGAGTAATTCATAGTCCCTCCGTCATGCAGTCTTTGTCCAACACTCATTTTTGGGTTGTCCAACATTATATGCCCACTTTCGTTTTAAGACAACATAAATGAGATGGAAAGTCTATATGCCCTCCACTATGTCTACCAACCTTTCCCAACCCTCCACTTTCCTTATTGCACCCTCCATGTGAGTCGCCGCCCGTTGGGTACCATTTGTAGCGGCCCCTGTCTTCTCATGTGACTGTTCAAAGCTTGACCGAAAAAGAACTCTGACCTGAAATCAAGCACCCGTGGATTGTATTAGATGACGGTGATGATGAGTTCTTAGTTTTTTAATTCTCTGACATGCTCAGTTTCTTGTTATGGTTTGCTCTATGACAACAAGCTAGGTGGGGGTGGGAGGAGGAGGGCTGTCTGGCAGGATGCTGGAGGATGTTGGGGTGGGTTGTGCGGCATTCGATTGGGAGAGCTGAGCGGTCATAGATGATGGAGTGGGGAAGGATACCCAACATAAGTTGTATTTGAGACATTGTTCACCTTACATTGGTCTTTGTGCCAAAAAGAAACCGGACAAATACTTCGAGACAAAGGGAGTATTAGATAATTAACTAACACTACTAATTTTAGGATTTTCTAATGTCTGCTTTAAAGTGCATGATACAGAGCAATTAGTGTGCTTTTTTAGGACGTGTTTGGTGAGCTAAACAGTTATGGGTTTTATCATCTCTGGTATCAAGTTTCCAAAATTAGTGTTTAGTGAACTAAAAATGGGTTTAACGTTTTTATCAGGAGATATGGAAACTCTCAAAATCTGTGGAATGTCGTGCCTTGAAATCTGTTCAAATCTGCCAACAGTCGTGTCTTGATATGGCCCGATATCAAATGTTGAATTCAGCTGATTTCACTCTCACTCATTCACAATCTTTTCTCTTTCTTCTTCATTTTTTTAATTCAAAGGGTACCTTCATCTTTTTTTTGCATTTTTGTCCCCTTTTTCCGGATTGATCATGTTCTTCGTCTCTTTTTTCCAGATCTAGGTGCTACTTTAGTTGTCTCCAAACACTTTCATTTTAGATTCCAAAATTCGTATCATTTCTTCCAGATTTCAGAGTTCATATAATATCAACGATATTTCGCTCACCAAATGGGCCCTTAAGTTTCAAGTAAGAATTTGCAAATTTCCACAAAAAGTACACATGATTTAAAAATATTGGTATGATTATCAATAAAATTTTATCTTCGTTATTAAGAAAAGTTCAAGAAATCCATAGGTTTATAAACATTAAATACTCATTAAATGCTTTTTATCAATTTCCCCAAGTGCACACTTTACAAAATCCAAAAGTAAATTTATTGCCAACAGCCTAACATGGTTAAGACTTATGACCATGGTGATGATGATGAGAAAGAATGTCATGTCTATTTATAATCTTCTTAGCTGTATTTTTGAATTAATCATTGAAAAAGCCCAGCACATCCCTTATATTGGACAATTAAAATTTCTCCGATTGGGAAGTAGAATAATGTCAGTTACCACTTCAATCATTCATTGGTTTATGAGTAATTTCCTCTTATATATTAGTCTTGCATTAACGCATTCAAAAATATTTATGTGAGAAGTAACTATGCAAGCGCAACGTGATCCGCCTATTGATATGATATGCAAGGACAAGTTTTTAGTTCAAGCCACAGTTGTACCTGAGGAGACTTCTGAATATGACATCATCTCAGAGATGGTAAGTGTCCCATATTTATTAGTATTTCATTGTCACAATTTACAATAATATGATGTTATACTATGTTGATGTGAAGATGTATCCTTTTCTGTTCTCATTTCCCTAGTTTTCTAAAGACGATGGAAAATATGTGCAAGAAAACAAGCTAAGGGTGGTCCTTGTCACTCCATCCAGCTCGCCAGTAGTGTCACCAATGAATGAAGTGTGCAGTCATCTGCCAAGAGATGTTCTAGCTGACGACGCTTTTGATAGTGCAAAACTCAGTACATTTTCTGAAGTAAGAGATACATTTAGATTCAGAAAGTGCCACCATACATATGTGACATACTGACATGCATCATTGAGTTGTCACTAAGTTCAGTTTGATTCTTTAGCGGGGTACTGGGGTCATCTGGGAATGCTTCTACAGTAATGCTGCTTGAAGCCTCGTTATCGTTCTAGACCATTTCTTACTGTTTTTTTCAGTTGGGTGGGAGTATGGAGCTAAAACAAGAAAATGGCATGGAGTTTGTGGAAAAGAATCTTTTAGTAGCCAAAGCAAATAACAATGTGGGAGAGATGGAATCTTTCAAGGAGAAGATGAAGTCAAAACATCATGAACTTGAACTACAATTAAGTGCGGTGAGGGCTGTGTATTACGAGTAGTTTTTTTTATAACCCAAATCAGGTATCTCTTTGTGGTTTTTGATATTTTGAATTTACCATGTTATTATAGCTCTGAAAATTCCTGCCTAGCCTAGGTGCAAGGCTTCCCTTTCTAGCCTACTTTTTTGTTCCTGCCTAAGAGCGCATAGGCTATGATTAATCCATGCCTAAAGCATTCCTAGTTGCTAGGCTCAGGTCTGTCACCTAGTAGATGTCCAATGCTTTTTAGAAAATTAGTTTCTTGCTAGAATTTTTTTAACATTTTTAAAGTTGGACGTTTTAGACACTGGATTGAAGTTTTTCCTTTTCTTTTTTCACATATAAAACCCCTACTTTTCTTATATCTCCCCTAACGGTCTATTTGAGGATACACTGTATAAACAACACCATTAGCATGTTGGTTTTTATTGGGTTGTGTGGGGTTTGTTTGTCCTGTTGGTTTTTATTGGGTTGTGTGGGGTTTGTTTTTGTTTGAATCTGCTGTGACTAATTACTATGTGTCACGGCACAGGTGTGCATGAAATGACTTGCTCTCCCTTGTCGATCACTAAATATTTATCTTTCATCCTAGAAACGGAAGCCCCATATGTTGATCCCCAACTTGATGTTCCTCTGTCATTAATTGAGTACCAGTTGATTTATTTTTCCAGATGATACCTAGGTAATCACAGTTTGTGCATATTAAACAAATATATGATGGCTACGGCTAGGGTGGAGAGTGTGTACCTTCACCTCCCACATATGAGTGGGGTGAAAGTGGGTAGTGCCCATGAATCAGTCAATCAGGTTCAAAAAACATCTCTGCTGGTAGAACATGGGTAGACTTGTTTATAATTGTAAATAATTATAAATGATTATAAACAATTCTCCAATATTATAATTACATGTTGGTAGGCTACTAGGTTGGATGTGTTATAGTTTGGAACGAATGCGAGGTCTTCCTAAAACTTGAAACTGCTGATTATTCCCTCCGTCCCTGAGTATTTGTCCAGTATTCCTTTTTTGGTCGTACTACAATATTTGTCCACTTTCTATTTTAGGTAAGAATAAACTAAGTAAATGACTACTCTACCCTTTCCATCAATTAACTCCTTATTCCGGTTCTAATGAGCTCTGGAGAATAGCGCACAATGAACAGTGTCACACACCATTGCCATACCTCCCTTCTTGGGGACATCTTCCCTATCTTCTCTTGTACACCATCTTGTTGTACTCATTTTTCCGCACATCATTGCTATCAGAATTTCGGATTTTCTTTGCTTCGGCTTCTCAATCGAACCTTTCGGACGCCGAGTTACTGTTCATCGTCTTTCTTATGGTCTGCCTGAGATGGGTCACGGTTCTAATTTTCTTTCCATTGATGGATTTCCCTTTCTTCCTATAATTTCATCTCCGACTCCGGAGATGGTGTGACGGTCGCAAAATGTGACTAATTGCCCTTATCTTGGAGATCTTCAATTGAACCCATTCGCTGCCTCCATCTGAAGAGCACGAGTGCCTCTTTCTTCCACTAATTGTTTTTTATTTGTTTATAACTGCAAGATAAGTCTTGCTTTGTATAAGAATTGCTTATGGAACTAGATCTCCGTGGACGATGATCTCTCTATTTTCCAATTTTGCAGGTGGGTGGGAAGGATGGGGCAGGTCCGCTGGGTGATTAGGCATTAGGGGCATTTGTGACATTTTTACTCTTTTATTCATTTACCTTGGTTTTAGTGCCACACTGAAAGTGGACATAAACTGGGGGACGGAGGGAGTAATTTAAGTTATTGGCCGTAAGTGCAGCAATGCATCTCAGGTCTAATGGATACAGTCTCTCTGTCTTTATAGGGGTAAGACTGCGCACATCTCGATGCCTCCAGGCCCCAATGGAGTTGGAATTTACTGGGTTGTTGTTGTCATTGTTGTTGGTGTTGTATTGATTCATCATTTTACTATTGCTGATGTACTGCATATTTTGTTCAAGGCTGAAGCAACCATTGCTAGGCTGACACAGGAAAGGAAAGACATCACTCAAGAGACAGAGGGTTTACGAAGGGAATTGGTAATTCTATAAATTCTTCTTATGGTCGCTGGTGTAGTTAATTGTATTTTATGAAATCATAGAATTGGAATAAAAACATCATAGAGAAAAACTGCCAAACAATGTTTGGGTCACCAAAGTTTATGTTAGTATTACTTTTCTGTGTTGCAGATATCGCTTCCGGTCAAGTTTTTTCTGCAATATGGGAAAAACTTGCAATTTGGGACCTTGAAGTTTTGTTTTAATAGTCATAACTAACAACAATAAGTCCTAATTTTATTTTTCAGTGGGGTTCCCATGACATTGGAACCCCATGTCATAGGATGACCCGGGGGTGACCCGGTGCCTTGTTCGTAAAATTGACGGTTCCTACCCCCCCTAACCCCCCGGAACTGCCCCCTTTATTTTTTAGTCTCGTGTATGCGTTCACGATTGCCACTCACCTGCCTCCGGAGTAATATCAAGGGAAAGATTTACAGAATACATTTGTTTTCTTCTCCCATTCTATTCCATGGGACAGAAATCAATTACTTTTTGATAGGAAGTGATTAAATTCGAGTTCTGCATAATATTAGTGCATTTCGTTGAGAAAATCAATTACTTTTTGCTTTAAAAGTCATTACATGTGCATGCTACTTCACATGAACTGTGCCACATTCAGTGATATCCCTCCCTAACCACGTCGCGTTGATATTTATTTTTATTTTTCAACAGGCCGTAATGACAAGCAAGAAGGTTGTCAGAAGAGTGCAAGTTGGATTTCCTTTGGCGTATGTGGTGATGGTTGCGGTCATTGGTATAACTCTAGGATGTCTTTTAGGTCGTTTATAGAGGCAGCTACTGCAATGCTTTCCATACTCCCATCGATCCCATGGGGGCACAATATGGTGTAGTTTTTTTCCCTCGTGTATGACTCCTTAGATATACTGCTGTATATACTTTTTCTCTATAATACTCTTTAGGTGCTTTGGAGTATTTAGGACGCACGAACGGTATGGTATGTACTGTACATGTGGCATCTACACATTTGCAAGTTACACTATATTTATTTCGAGCATTTGTCTTGTTAGAACATACTAAGACCATTTGGTGCGGTGTGATTGATCACTCCCATCACGCCACCCCACTCAACTCCACATCAACTTTTCTCTTTCCCCTCATAGCCCATCACACCACCATCACACCGCAAGGGTGTGGATAATGCCCATCATGCCCTTTTTTTTAATTTTTTAAAAATATATTTAAATGAAAATAACTTAAAAGAAAATCATTAAATAAATATTTCATTAAAATTCAAATTTATATTACATTGGAAAAAATAAGAGCGGTACGAAATTGAAAATAAAAAACAACTAGATTAAAAAAATCAAATATTGCCAGCCAAAGACAATCAAGGCAGTCGTAGGAGTGATGGGCACAAGGCAGTCAAACTCAGAAGTTTTTTTGGAATGATGGAGGCAACAGGAGGAACTTAGACCCCCGGGACGCTTAGGTTAACAGCACTATGTTCTCCTGGAGGCCTTAGCCCTTAGGTTGATAACAATGTGCCTTTCGGGAGGGCGTTGGTCCTTGAACTGGTGTGAAACTGCCTTGAGTGAGGTCTGCCTGTTGTTGGGTACAGATAGTCTCATTAGGACCCCCCTCCCCCTCCCCCCCCCCCCACCCCCAAACTAATAACTAAGGGTTTGAAACCCACACTGTTGGTCTCGGAGGCCTTGCCGTCATTGTGAGTAGGGTAAACACTGATGTAGGGGCCGCCACCCAGAGTGTACAGATACTCAAAATTGATGGGGGTGGCTAGCTCCCTGAGTTGCTGACACCGAAGAATGTAGGCAAGTATGCACCGGTTGGCGTTGGTGGTCAGCTGCCCAAGAAGCATCCTAGCTACAACGATCATAGCTCAATCACACAGTAAGGAAGGGGTGAATAAGCCCCCGAACCCAACCTTCAACAAGTGATAGTGCATGATGGCATAGGAGTGAGGTTTGCCATTGTTGACCACTCTTGATGTCGGACCTCCACACCCTCAGCTTGCCCAATGTATCTCGCCCAGTTCATGTGTCTTCTGATAGTGGAGAACTCAGGGGACCAGATGTTGATGTCGATCTTCACCATTGTGGGGGAGTCTAATATGAGAATGTTTAGACTTTAGAGATGAGGGTCGGTGAAGAACATATGAACACTTAGTAAGGGAAAAAGTTTTCAGAATTGCACTAAGGGGTTTCTTATGGGCAAAATTCAACCAAAATCTCAAACTTGTAGTGGTGGCCTCACGTGCATGCATAGTTTTTTTCAAGCCTTGCAGATGAAATCCTAATAGACAGTACTATCCCTATAATTAATAGGATAAAGAGGGTCTTCGCTAGTTGGATGTAAAGTGGAATCAATTATAAACTTTGGAGGTGGTTTTTGACATTTGAGAGAAGTGAGGATGTGTTTCACTTTTTTCCTACTTTTTGACGCAAGTTATATCCTACAGCCGGCTGTACGAGAAGAACCATATAGCCGATGAAAATTAGTGATCAAGAGACATGCGGTCGAGGCAAACTCTAGCTGCGCCCAATCGGAAAATGGAGGTAGTATAGAGCAATTTGGACGGCGTGGATATATCGTGGGAAGATGATGATGACGAAGCAATGGATCAATCGTGACAGAAGATGATGACGATGAACCCTAGCTGCGTGGATTGTGGAAATAGATGCTTGGTGGAGATTTGCAGCATCGACAACCATGAAGATGATGATAAAGATGACGATAAAGATGACTACGGGGACTCGGGGAGTATTGTAAGTTTAACTAGACTTGGATTATATTTTCTAAATTTGAAGAGAATGAATGGTACATTAGTTAAGAATGAGCTCTACGTTATTTGAAAATGAACACAACTTTGTTTTAGAATTAACACTACGCTATTCGTAAATGAATATTATAATTATAATGAAGAAATGTGTGAAAATAAGAACTACGTTATTTCAGAATGAGTACTACATTATTTCAATTGAACACTTATCTTTGTACGAGAATAAATACTACCTTACTTCAAAATGAGTACTACCCGACTGTACTATACGAACTCACTTTTTGAGGATGTAATTTTTTCCACCATGTAAACATATACCTTCATCAAGAATAAGGTGTGCTAAATAGAGGACTAAACGTCGAGTTTTCTTATTATAACAAGAGGATTAATATCCATCAATATATATTAAGAGTGGGTTGGAAGGCCAACAGGTCTTAGATGAGATGTTAAGGATAAATATCTACTGAACTTTCTCATGTTAATGTAGTGGCTTAACATTGCACAGGGAGGAATGTTAACGCTATTGATACAGAGAGACAGCGGAAACAGCTTGCTTCCGAAACAAATTGAGCAGACAAATCCATACAGATAAGAGTGAACAAGAAAAATAAAATTTATATAATGATCCAAATGAATACGGAGTACATGCTAAATGGCCCCTTGGTTACTTGGTGCTGTTTAGGTTTTTCTTCAACACATTTTTGTCTGTACTGTGGAGGGGGCCAGCTTCTATTTCCTTGATTCCTGGTCCGGGGGGGCAAAGAAAGCCCAGATTGTGTTTTTTAAAAATCCAGAATCAATCAGTCACACAAATTATCTTCTTCTCCCTGCAGATTGCTTTTTGCCATCGGCTGCAGCGTGCTTCTTCCGCCTTCCACCACCACCAGCACCGGCAGTGCCGGGCTCCACTAAAGGGCCAGACCAATTCTGGACTGGTTCCTTGGAATATGTGAATGAGGTTGAGCTGAAAGGCACGTCTGGAGGGACGAGGGAAGGATCAATATGATGGGAAGCCCCCAAAGGAACACCTAGTCCTCCATCCTGATGTGGTGGGGGGAATTTCTCGCTCTTGCTCTTTGCATTTGCATGCGTGATGAGGCGTCGCCGCTGCAAAAAAAAAGTAATTTGTAATTTACCAAAATGTGTTTCTCACTCTAACAAAATGTTGCTTGCTTCCATCACAGATATGTACATCTATGAAACTATCATTGTGTAATTTACCAAATTTTCATGGAGTTCAGCAGGGATACGCTTTCATCATACAAAATTTACATCCATGTATCTTTTATCAAATAGGACAAAAAGAGACGAAAGTAGAATATGTACATCCACTTATCCATCAAATCTGAAAAGTAATTGTTTAAAACAGTATAACACATACATCAATGTTAGCTTGAAGTTCGGCATTGGCATCTGGTGCAGGAATTGCACGAACAGCACGATCACGATGACGCGTTCTTTTAGTGCCATCACCTTGAGCTTTATTAGTTGCTCTTAGCCTACAGAAGCAGAAATTGCAAACAGGACGATATGTATAATTTGTTACAGTATTATATGTACATATGCATCTTAAAAAGAAAAAAGGCATGATTAAGAAGACATGTGCTGTCCTTTTTTTTTTTTTGATGAAACAGCTGCATGCCAGACTTGCAAAGGTCAACCATTTCAAAGTGTTTCATAAGTTCTACAGTTCATGGCTGTAGCTGGCGACCAGTGGTTTTAGAATAAACGATTTCTATTAATTTCGTAGAACACTAGAACCCTAATGGCTATTGATACATCAAGTCATAACTTTATTGTAGAATGGAAGTATTATACCCACCTTCGAGCCTCATCGTCACGTCGTTTTGCATCCATCTCTTTTGTTGGAGGGTATTTTGGGAGACTAGACGGATCACAAGCATAAGGTTCGGTCGTAAAGAACTGTAAATAACACAACAGTACTGTAGAAATTTAAAACCTGAGCAATATTTAGGAGATACAAGAGAGCTGAAATATGAATACTATGCAGTCACTTTATGAGAAAACATTTTTCAAAAGTTCAAAATAGTAAAACCACAAGTGCCAAATAAAGTGTCACAATACATACAACGCCACACCAAGATCTATACTTAAGAGAACAGATGTTTAGTCCTGGAAATCATTGAGTTGAAAGGGAGAGGGAGAGAGAGACGCACACGTGCGTACGCGCACACACACACATCTGTGTGTGTGTTCATTTCTGTTGAAGTATCCCATGGTTAGTGTCATGATTAATGAAAATGAATCTGTCAGGACATTTTCTCATTATGCCTTGATTTATTTCCTTCTATTCATGGTGCCAGTCAGCCTATATATGAACCATTTACTCTCACATTTAAGAGAGAAAACATGTGTCCATTGTTCTCCTAATTTTATCATGTCGTACACCACTAAAGAAAAAGAGAGATCAAATGTGAAAGAAAGAAACTGATATGAACACATTAGTGAACCTAAAAGAAAAAGATATTGATCCTTCCCTACCCGCTTCCTTACCTGTGGCAGGAAGGTGGGGAGGGCAGTCAGTGACAACAACAACAAACCCAATATAATCCCACAAGAAGAGAACTAGGGTATGGGGGGTAAGTGTACGCAGACCCCCTACTTGGGAATTAAGAGGTTTCCAAGACACCCCCAACTCAAAATAGTACGGGCAAACATACCACATTAGCACTAACGAAGTACTACCACAGAGAGAAGAGAAAAGAAACACAAACCGAAAACTAAAACCAAAGCAGACAAGCACAAGCTGCACACAGAGACATAAAAACACACCAGAGAAAAGTAAAAACTAAGGCTCACATGTCTACCCAACCACTCCTATCCTGGATCCGTAGTTGTCACGGTGCCAAGATGAGTCGGGCACCAGTGTGACACCAGGACCAGGACGCCTAATCAAATAGGCGACCACGAAGGCGACAAATTTTAAACAACTATTATACTATTATAGTATATTGGTCACATTAATATACACTCTGTCTCTCTCTCTCTCTCTCTCTCTATATATATATATATATATATATATGTATATATATACTCCCTCCGTCCCAGAGTATTTGTCCACTTTCATTTTTACACACCATCCAATACATTTCTTTAATCCATTTTATCTTGTAATTTGTATATTAAAAAATTATAGAAATTATATAGTAATAATCTATATGTTAAGACAAATCAAACAAGATCACACATGACTATATTTAGGCTTACACATTGAGAGAATTTGATGAGTCAAAGTGCTTAGATGAACAGTTCCAAAAGTAATATAGCGGGACGGAGGTAGTATAACTCTTATAGTCACATTTATTATTCCTTTTTCTTACAGTTTTTAACATCAATACCGATATTATATATTTTTGTTTCTTAATTTGCATGTCACTACTAGAAATAGTGAGACAAACAACAACAACCCAGTTGAATCCCACAAGAGTTGGGTCTGGGGAGGGTGTGTGTACGCAGAGTTGCAAACCTTACCCCTACTCGAAAGTAGAGAGGTTGTCTCCAAAGAGACCCCCGACTCAGCGTCGAAAGTTGGATTGATTGACTGACTACAACTTCATTAATTAAAGAAGCAGTTTATGGATCCATTTTGCTTTATTCTATTGCACCTAAAAGCTAAAAAATAGTGAATTTTTGGCTCCATTGGAGATGATGGACCTAATAGTGAGACAAAGGGAACAATAATTTTTATTAATCTTAATTGAAAGGGAAACTAAAAATAATTAATCCAACAAAAGCTCTATCAAAGTTGTTTAAGGCACGATGTGCACTCTTGCACAAAGGGATCTGTCCATGCAATTGAGGCAGGCGCATCATGAACACAAGGCTCAAATGAAGAACAATAGCATAGCATCTTTAAATTAGTAATCACACGGACATAAGATGTTTTTTAGAAAGAAACCAAGAATGAAAGTCCCACATAGTACCATACTCATTGACAAATAAAAAAACAAAAGTCCGTAGAATAGCCTTAGGCTTAGACAAAACACCAAGAAAATAATTGGGATGTAATGTAAAATGTGATTTGAGAAATATAAGTGTTTGCTCTTTGAGTAAATCCTGAAATTGAATAATTCAATTTTAATCTCTTCTTAATTGTTAGCTATTATGATAGTGTATCTAGGAGTTTACTGTTATGCCTCAATTGTGATTATTGGAGTATAAAATGAGATACTAAGCCCAAAGCGGCCTAAGATGATTTAAGAGTCAGTAATATCTCTTATATTCCAATTTTGTTTTATCATTTTTCTTACCTACTTTCAGAATTCCTACCTCCATTTGGTCTTTCAAATATAGTGGGTGGTTCTCTATGCTTTTAAGCTGCTCAAAACTACTAATAAGTTGTTTTTAACTTATAAGTCACCTGCTCACGTAGTCACGTATTTCTCTGCACTTATAAGTTAACTTATAAGCTGCTTATAAGTCAAGAAAAACTAAGTAGTTCTTACCTACTTATTTTAAATTCAGTTTTTTTTTGTTTTTCTGTTTTGACCGGATTATTCATAAAAATATCCCTCACCTTTTATGAATATCCCCAAATGGCTTATCTCTCATTTAAGTCATTTTACTTCCGCAAAAGAATATTTAACTTACAAACATCTTATAAGTTAAAAAGTGCTTACTAGCAATACACGAATAAGCACCAGCATAGAGAAACACCCTCATTTTTTCTTATACCAGTCCTAGTAAAATATATAACACAACGCTATCAAGGGAATCAACCACAAACCCAGTATAATGCCAACTCCGTGGAAGGATCGAGATATACACAACCTTGCTCCTATATAAAACAAAGACGTTTCTATTGTACTAGTTGATGCATTGTTCTATCCGGTGTCTAAAACTTCATAAAAAGTAAAAAAGGAAATTGACCTAATGATTATAGATTAAAGCTTGTTTTGTTGCTTAGGATTTTGTGATAATTGCACAACACAAAACAGAGTGCAACCATTGGAATCCCTGCACCCTTTTACTTTTCCCATGGTTGTAAGAAAGTCAAATAAAAAATTTCAAGAAAGGACAAACTCTTCTAGCATTAAGGTAAAACTAGAAGTTAAGAAATGATTACTCCCTTCATTTTTTTCTCCTAGTTTGACTTAGTACATTTTATAAGAAATTGTTAAATGTGTGGATGAAATTTGTTTTAGAAAAAAGAGAAATAATATCAACACGAAATTGTTCCCTTAAGGGGAAAGTTGTGATAATTTTGCGACGGCTAAATATGAAAGAAATGAATATAAAAACAGGACAGGGGGAGTGGGAAATGATGATGACAAGGAGCTACCTTGGCAATTCGTGTGTATCTAGCATGGGAAGATGCATCCAATAATGAATTTCAAATGTAAAATCACTTACTTCACTACGTAATGCATCAGTTGCTGTTTTGCGCTCCGCTGGATCAATTGCAAGCAGTGTGTCTATCAGTGGTAGAGATGATGCGGGAAAATCTTTAAATGTATCTCTAATGCATCGCTTGTATGGCTCTCGTGGCTTGAATAGTGTTGCATTAGGTAACTTAGACTTCTTCCAATATTCATCAGATGGTGAACCACATAATTTATATATCTTATGTAGTTGCTCTACCTATAAGAGAAAATAGTGACATCATCGACCTCAAATTAAAAATGTGTTCCTGCACTAATTCAGATTTTTATTTAATAAAATAAAATGCAAGAGCTTATAGATTCTGCAATGGTTTAATAATTATTGCAGTGGGACTTACATGACATGGTTGTATCTTTTAACGAGGTAATTTGATCTTTTCCCCCCTTTTGGGTAACTAAAGATCTAAACAGATGGAATACTAATTTACCAAAATATAAGTAGAAAAAAAGATAGCCATGGAACTTTTGATGAAAAATGATTTATCCTAATAACATCAACAGTAACAAAGTGTTTTGGAAGTTACAATAACTAATTAACCTCCAAGAAAAAAAGGAATTGTAGGTAAGGTATAAAAGATATTTAATTTGGATTTCTAAAGCAGAAGAGGAGCCACAAAAAAAGGAAAATATAATAATGGTATTTGAGAAATCTAAAGTAAGATTATAACTGTAGGTTTAAATTCCCATAATTGTAATGGTATTTGGAATGATTAATATAATTAGTAGGTTTGCTTGATGAAGTTTGTGGATGGAGATAGGTTCATTAATGAAAATTGGGGAATGATTGAGCAAATATTAGACTCGTTATCATTATGGTATACCAATCACCATCAACGAAAAGGACTATACCGCCATTCTCATTCCCCACTCCCCCACTCCCCCCAACCAAGCACCTTCTAGGATTAGATGATGTCATTATGTAACAGTATGGATGTAGTTTGAGCAATTACTTCTGTACGACCAGGCATAATAGGCTTCCCCGCCAATAGTTCTGCTAAAATACACCCTGCACTCCATAAATCAATACCCACTCCATAATCACTTGCGCCCAAAAGAAGCTCAGGTGGTCTATACCAGAGTGTGACCACTCTACTAGTCATATGGTGCTTATGGCTAGGATCAAATATAGTAGCCAGCCCAAAATCAGCTATTCTGAGTATCCCTGAATTGTCCAGCAAAAGATTTGACCCTTTAATGTCACGGTGGAGCACGTGACGATTGTGACAGTGCTCAAGTCCTGACAATAGCTGGTGCATATAGCATTTCACCTACAAGAAATAGCAACTACTTCAAGTATGTTGATGAAGGTTATAAAATATTTATATTGGTTCTTTGTTTCACGTATTCTGACCATATAAAATGTCTTACGTTTCAGTGTGTAGTGAGATTGGACCCGAAGTCTTTTGAACTATAGACCTGAACGTCGTTCAGGTCGGTTCAGTACGAGGTATATGAGTTTATGTTCCATCTCTGACGTACTGTAAGAACTACATTGTAAACCTTCTAATTTAATAACATTGGGGTGATCAAGACGTCGCAGAATGATTATTTCTCTTGCCATGAATCGCACGCTCTCAGGTTCTAAATTGTCAAAGCGGACTTTCTTTAAAGCAACAATTTTTCCAGTTATAGTGTCCCTTGCTTTATACACATTACTGTAAGTTCCTTGCCCAATCTAAGACCACAAAAGCATCAATCAATGAACACATTAATGAAGTAAAAGCATTGTAAAAACCAATTGCAAAAGAAACAAAAAATTAGAATTAAAATTAAAATGCCCAACTCAAATCCTACCTTATCAATTTTCTCAAAAGTGTCCGCGCGTCGAGGAAGCCAACCCTCAATTGCTTCCCCAACATGAGCTGAAAGCCACGATGGCCATCCAGCAGCAACTTGTTCACCATGTTTGTGCTTAGGTGGATTACTCAACCTTGGGTTAGGCTTAGACCTCCTCTTATCAGCCTTTGATCTTCCATCAACATCTATCTTTTCATCCTTCCTAGTCACATCATCAACATCTTTAACTTCAGCAGAATCATTTACTTCATCCACCTTCTTGACCCCTGAAACCTCGTCAGTCTCAGTAGACTCAAAACTTGTATTCTTACTCTTGTCATAGTTCTCAACTCTCCTATCTCCCTTTGCTCCAGATACTATGCCAGACGAGATTTCCCGGCCCAAAACACACCCCATATCTCAAGTCCACAGTTTATGCCTCAACATTCCCCTGTAATCTCTGCAAAATCATGGCAAAATGCCAAAGTCAAACTACAACCCAATATTCATTCTGCCCGAGAGAATTGCACATATAAACAAATGATCTAAAAAGTAACCAGTGGATGGAGCCAATTAAAAAAAAGTAGTTCAAAAGAAGAAACATGGAAGATCTGAAAGGTACGGATTCCCTCATTGACCAACCAGCTATCAAACCAATTAAAGGGAAGAGTGTAGAACCAATTCAAATAAAGTAGCAGATCAAAAACCCTAACTTGCAAACGAGGAACTAACATAAATATGTATGTGTTTGTGCGCGCGCGCGAGTGTACACACGCAGTAGTTTACATACACAGACAGTGCAAAAGACAGAAAGAAAAGCTACTGAGCTGACTTGATCAGGGTGGAGAGCAGAAGATGAAGAAGGAGGAGGAAAAAGAGAAATGGCTGTCTGCAACTTCAACTCTACAATGTTTCCAGGAAGAAAAAAATGAAGTCCTCTTTTGAGGCTAAACAGACTGAAAAATTGGAAATAATTGAAAGAATCCGAATGAACCGAAACGAATTGGGAAGAACGCAAAGAATGGGAAAGAAAACATTTGACAAGTCACAGAGAATTGGGGAAAAATTGGAAAAAGTGAAAGAAAACTAAAAAAAATTTAAATTTTTTGTGTCTCACCATTTTTTTCTCAACTCATATTCAATACTTTTTTATCCCAAATTCAATTTCTTGTTTATTTTTTACAAAATTTAAAAAATAATAGTATACTCGAGGTATTTGTCAGTTTGAATTTCAAATCTAGATTTGATCCAAATTACTTGTTTGAGAACTCAAAAAATTGGATTTGGATATAGACCAAGTTCTTCTAATTTAAAATTAAGCTACTTACAAATTCACATCTCTCTAAATGTCATTTACAAATTCAAGTTCAACTTTTTTGAATTTATAACTTCTAATTAAAGAGTGATCTCTCTTTATTCAACAACAATCTCATACATTTTAATTGGCTCCCGTTACCGTCTTTGTCAACTTCAAAATTCAAATTTTAGAAATAAAATTTGATGATTTCCCAAAAAAAGTTTGGAATTTGAAATTATGAGATTTCAAATATTGGAATTGAAATCTCAAATGATTTCTAATTGCCAAAAATTATTGGGTTGACATTTGTGACACTACTACAAAAACGAACAAATAATTCGTCCTATTTGCATCGGTTAGCGGAATAAACGATTTAAAAGCTAAAAAAAATGCCAACCGCTTAGCATTTAAATCGGTTATTCCTAATAACCGATGCAAAAGGTTATTATTTGCATTGGTTACAAGGAATAACCGATTTAAATGCTGAAACCCTTTTAAATCGGTTATTCCTAATAACCGATGCAAATAACCTTTTGCATCGGTTATTAGGAATAACCGATGCAAAAAAGGGCTGTTAAATCCAGCCTCTGAAACATTACCCATACGCGATTTTGGAAAAAAAACCTCTAAAGCTTCTGCTGTCAACCCTTCGCCGACGCCAACCCTTCGCCGCCATCCCTTCGTCGTGCCTCGCATCCAAAGCTTCTGCCGCCATCCCTTCGTCATACCTCGCATCGCCATGCCTCTCCTCGTCGTGCTGTCAACGTGCCTCGCCTCGTCATCGCTCCTCTACCCCTGCTCGAGTCTCACCGGTCGTCGCTGGTCGCTGCCGTCTTCCCTTCACATTTTTAAGGTATTTTTTTAAATATTTCACTTTAAATTTTTAATTATACTATTATTTATTTATATATTTTTGTATTAGGTGAATATTTTTTTATTCCAAGTGGTAAATATAATTTTAAATTTATTTCAATGTATTTTCTTTAATTACTATATATTTGAATTGCTTTTGTGTTTATATTTAAGTTGAAATGTGACATTATGATATATATTGTGTTTGAAATATAGATTGTTTAATTACTTTTTGTTTGATTCTACATGATCTGAGATGTTATAATATAGAAATAACATATATTGACTGACCTAGATACCCGTTTAAAATTTACTCATTAGGAGTAAATTTTAAATAGCTCCCAGTTTGGAGCTGTTCTTGAAATGATTCTCTCACTTAGGTAGTGAATGTATTTCGTTTTCTTTGTTCTATCATTTTTTTGGTTCGACGTTTCATAAATGTGTTCTTCAGGTGCATATGTAAATACATTACATCGGGCACTTGGAGAACCTGTAACACCCTAACCCGTCTAGGCCTCCAACCCCTTTCGAACTAAAGTATAAACTTGATATTCGTAAACATTCAAAATATTTCAAACATTTACAAACTTTATTTCATAATAAATTATTTAGAATAATAACGGAGTATTTAAAGTTGTGGAAGCTTAATAAATCACAATTACAAACATAATAAATTTATGTCTTTTAGAACAGTAATTAAAATTCACATATCCATCCCAACCATCTCGCCCCATCTGCCTCCAGGAATTCATCACTTCATTCTTTTTGTTTACCTGCGTGTAGCAAATAAAACATACTACACTCTCAGTAGTAAAGCTGAGTAAGGATATATAATGCATCGAACATCCATATAAATTGAACCTCAATTCATAATCAAATCATTTGATATCATGCACATAATATTCAGTTCACAGATTCAACATTCAACACTCATATTTAATAGTGCTCTCAAACTCATCCTTAGTCTAAGTCCAATTTCTTGATTTTACCAACTCTTAAACTATTTTTAGTTTAAGGTATTTCTAACCAACTCTAAAACTATATTCTAGTTTAAGGTACTCTTAACCAACTCTTAAGCTGGTCTAGCTTAAAGTATAATTTTCAAAAAAGTTTTCCAACTCTTGAGGTACACCAGAAACCGAACACTGGAATGCTCATTGTCAGGTTGGGTGGTATCCACAAACGAGTGATCCTCAAGTTTGGGTTGCGGATCCCGTACGTATGTTTTTACCTAGGCCACCAAATATTCATATTTATACCCACAAGGCCTATTCTAATCTCAGGTCTATCATAGAGGTCTTCTAGATAGCCTTAACAATACAATTCATTTCTCATCAATCCATTTATTTTGAATCATAGTTCAACATTTCGTAATCATCATTTTATTCAGAATATTCATCAAAGCTTAATCATCATAATCATTAATCAAAAATATTCATCATAATCATCAATCAATAATAATCATCATAATATCCAATAACAAATAGCGGCCTAGCGTCGAGTATTAACACCCTAGCTTACCGTCATGCATCAAACAAGGCTCTTGAATTTGTCAAAACATCACATTTATTTGCATAAATCATATTTACATTGATCATAATTGATTGATATCAAAAATAGGATTTTATAACTTCAAAAATATCATTTTCAAACTTTAAAATGTATCCGTCAGCTCGGGTGATCGATCCACCCCAAGTGATCGATCCACCCTAGTTGATCGATCCACCCTAGGTGATCGGTCACCCGAAGGAATTCCGTTACTATTTATCGTCTTCTTCCTCGGGTCCATTTTCTAAAATACCATTTTTAGTCACCAAACATCAATTAAACTATATAGAAATGTTCTCCAAGGTTCATAGATCATTTTGGTATCATTAGTTCGTAGTTTTAACAACAATTTCAAGGTTTATGATTCTTGGTTTTTGAAACATGTCAAACACAAAACTCAACCAAACAACCATTTATGAACGTAGAAACGATCTATACGAACATTCTAGTCACTAGATATATCTAAGGGCTTACCTCGAGCTAAAATGAAGGTTTTGAGAATTTTCCGTGAAACTTTCGGCGACGAATAACTCCCAACTCTGGCGACCTCTCACCAAATTGACAGCACCACTGCGTTCTCCTCACTCAGAGCAACAGAATAGAAGAAGAAATTATGAAGAATGGTGAAGAAATGAAGGAGTTGGAGTGGCTTATATAGGAAGAAGATGAAGAAGCTGCCAATGGTGATGTCTCCGTTTCCTGTTCGTGCGGCTGAGTGGGGAAAGAGGTGATCCTTTGCAGTATTATACGCCTCTCTCTGATTAGGACTAATTTTGTCCTAGTCGGAGTACACTTTTTGGTCCAACTTTCTCCGAATTAAATCTGATTGAACCATTGCAGTCATACAGTCAAACTCTACACAACAATATAACTTTCAATATTTATTAACAAACTTTATAAATCACTTATTTTTGAGTCCTTCTTAGTATTTAAAAAAATTAATTAATCAATTCTGATAGGCCTATTTTCAGGGTGTTACAGAACCATTGGGAAATGATGCCGAAATTTTGTTAGATCAAAGAAAATACATTTACTAGTGAGGGTGATATTTCAAGAATGAGTTAGGATGGAGTAAAGAAACACCATTTGTATGATGAAAAATGCTGCCGGATTTTTGTTACATCATAAGAAAAAGATTTTGTGTTTTCTGTATTTCTTATATATGTGTGTGTGTGTGTGTGTGTATATATATATATGTATATGTATATGTATATGTGTGTGTGTATATATATCATTGAGGGTAGCATATTGTAGCCAAAGACAGGGACGAAACCCTAGGTCGAGCCAGAGAGAAGAGAGACATGGATTCTTCCCATCGGAATTGTGGAATGGAGAAAAAAAATCCTCGACCCACGGCGGCAAGATGCATCTCCATGAAAATCAAACTTCGTCATACCGTGTTAAGCCCGTCCTGCCTATGAGGGGGACATCAAAAGGAACAGAGAATATAGATTCCTCTACCCACGACCCAAAACCTGAAAAAGAGAAAGTAGCCTACAGCGAGGAGGGAGGCTTAAACGGATTGCCATCATCTTCAAAAATCTGTCGGATCAACCTTAAGGCAGTCTCTCAACACGTACGGAAATTAGGAAACGCCAAAAGAGCAATGACCCTATCATGTAAAGCTGCATCCAGTTTTGAATCCAACAATGGTGCAAAATCTGAAGATGAAGATATCACCATCCTTTTCCGTTTGCATCGACAAATCCTTGATGTTACAAGAGACGGTATAACCCTTGAAGACAAGTGGTTTTCTATTTCAGCACAGCACGCGTCTCCCCGTAAAGATAAAGATAAATTCCTCCCCCTATCACTAAGGAGCCAGATCTCCAATATTTAGAATTTTGTCCTTCTCTTCCATTTGCCGTAGGGCCTTATTTATTCATCACCCGTGCTATAGACCACGACACAGATAAAGATGCAGCTTTATGGTCTGTGTTTTATCTTGACACGCGAAATATCAAGGATGGGTGGAAGGAAGCTCCTCGCCCGCAGGGCATTGAATCCTGCAATTACTGCTTCTTTCTGGCCAATGACAAAATTTATGCACTTGGAGTCTTTCGGGATCCCTCAGTTCCGGATCTCTCATTCGATTTAAAGTGTCTTGATTGCCATGAATTGCGTAGAGGCTGGCAGTCCTTATGTTCAATTAGTGATGAACTCTTAGAGTGCAGGGTCGGCTTTTGCCTTTATGCATTCAAACTTGAATATGCAACTACCACTAAGCCTGCTACTGGTGAAATGCGCCATGCTACACATGCCGTGATTTTTTTATTGGGCAAACGAATTTCCTATGATATCGACAACAATAGTTTTCATGTGTCTCCGTCTCACGCTGGGCACAAGTTTTATTGCGAAGGTGTTGGTGTTGGGGATTTGATTTACTTTTTGCGCGAGAATCAACCAAATGAAAGAGCGATGCTCATGGTCTACAATGACCGTCTCCACAAATGGTACCCAACTCCAGTTCTTGGCTTGAACCATCCAAATGCTTTGCCAGTGGCCTACAAACGATATACTGTTGTGGAATATCCCTCTGCAAAATTGTTGCTCATAAGAGAAAGATGTCTCTGTATTCTTTGGTCTGATATTCACTATGATTCCACTCGAATTTACTGTACCAAATTTAATGTTCACGTGAAAGATGAGCAACCACGTGCTGTGAATGTTTCCACTGTTGATTATTACAGCGGGAAAAATGAAATAAAATTTAATCCGAACTTATAACACGTTCGGATTTACAACAAAAATAAAAGAAAAGAAAAAGTGGAGTTCTTCGATTGTTCGAACGAGATGGAGGAACACGAACAGACGGCGAGGTGCTGACTTCGGACGGAGGATTGTGCGTCGCCGGAACAGTTTCTCGAAGTGGAGGTTAGGAAAGCGGAGTCGCCGAAGCTTTCCTTAAGGTAGTATTGCCCGCCTCCCGCACTGGCAAACGTGGGCAATCTCCTCCCAGGATAAAACCGCAACGTGCTAAGTCTAGAGCGGTAGAACAGAGCACCGGCGAACGAGAACGACGAGAGTTATAGCCGGAGAAGGTGATCGGAATTAGGAGATGGTCGGAAAGTTATAACACATAGAGAGAGAGATATTCAAGTAAATCACTAATCTCTGCACCCGAGCCCTCCTTTTATAGGAGGAAGTTCTTGGCTTTTCGCTGGACCGTCGGAGATTACGAGGAGATGGTTGTCTCTTCGGTCTCCAGTGCATGCATGCTAATTACAACGTACACTTCGTTATTAACGAAGTGTACACGCGCGTTTTGTTTTGGTCTCGTAAAAATTTAGCCACGCCACGCCGCAGACGCGGGCGCGACGCGCCCCGCCTTGCCCCGCCGCGCCGCGACGCGCGCGTGTCGTGACGTGCCGAGCCGGACGGACGGCGGCGGCGGGCGCGCGAGGAGTCCTCTTCTTGTTCCTTTCATAAGCTCAATTCAATGCCTAAGCTTAAATATGAGAATACGAAAGGTTTAGAAACCGGTCTGGGACAGAGGCATTTACTCTACCTTAGTGTTCAACTTTGAGAATTAATTTCTCATTCACCCGAGCACCGTTCATGACGTGTCATATATCAAGACGTTCGTCTTACTTACGAGATTAATCGTCCATAATTATTTTGGAAAATAATTTTGTGGACCCAACCGAATTTATGTCCGAAAATGTCCAATTTACTTTAAAATTTCCAACAATCCCCCACATGAATGAAAATTAATTCATGTAACTGGCAATAACTCTGAAGTTGAAACCTGCAAGAGTAGGTAGGTTTTATGCCTTTGAACCTACTCCTTGTAAAGTATACCTTCTCTACTGGCTGTTCAGTAGAACGTGATGTCTTTGAACTGTACTGCCGTTTATGTAAACGACGATATACAATACACAAGTTTCAACCAACCATCATTCCGTTCTCATGGGTNTCAAGACGTTCGTCTTACTTACGAGATTAATCGTCCATAATTATTTTGGAAAATAATTTTGTGGACCCAACCGAATTTATGTCCGAAAATGTCCAATTTACTTTAAAATTTCCAACAATCCCCCACATGAATGAAAATTAATTCATGTAACTGGCAATAACTCTGAAGTTGAAACCTGCAAGAGTAGGTAGGTTTTATGCCTTTGAACCTACTCCTTGTAAAGTATACCTTCTCTACTAGCTGTTCAGTAGAACGTGATGTCTTTGAACTGTACTGCCGTTTATGTAAACGACGATATACAATACACAAGTTTCAACCAACCATCATTCTGTTCTCATGGGTGTGCCCATTATGGTCGTGGAACACGCATCTGGTTCTGCGAGAGTGTCAGACAGGATCAGCCCGAAATCCTTCTGTTGAAGCGACCGCACTTCACTCTTACATAAGTGATTCTTCTAAGAGTATCCCGATTACTCCACTTGGACCTCGTTGTCCATAGTTCAAGAATCATTAAAGCGTCATGCTAACCTCATCGTTTTCGGGAGTCACTATGTCTCAGTAGGAATGGAGGGGTGTTAAGACGGTGATTCGGCTTGCCCCCACAGTGACCGTGCTTCGTTCCACAAGTAGGTTGTCCCATTGAACCCAGGTACCACCCAGGTTGGGTTTTCCTTCATGGAACGTTCCCAGCACAAGGTAGGGCTTTCAGACCCATTCCTACCACTAACTTCTCATGTTGCTCATTTGTTAACCCTTTGGTTAATGGATCCGCTAAGTTATCCTTCGACTTGACATAGTCAATCGAGATAATACTTGTATTGAGAAGTTGCCTAATGGTTTTGTGTCTATGGTGAATGTGCCTAGACTTACCATTATACAATTTGTTTTGAGCTCGTCCTATTGCTGACTGACAGTCACAATATATGCAAATAGGAGGAACTGGTTTTTCCCAGTTTGGAATATCCTAAAGTAAATTCCGAAGCCATTCGGCATGTTCTGCACACTTGTCTAGTGCTATGAACTCAGATTCCATGGTAGATCTGGCAATTAACGTCTGTTTTGAGGATTTCCAGGAAACAGCTGCACCGGCAAGCATAAAGACAAATCCACTTCTAGATTTTGAATCCGTATTATCCGCAATCCAATTGGCATTAGTGTATCCTTCCCGTACGGGTGGATATCTGCCGTAGCATATGCTATAATCTCGAGTATACCGAAGGTATCTCATTACTCGGACTATGGCCTTCCAGTGCTCAGCACTCGGATTGCTCGTATACCTACTTAGTTTGCTAATGGCGCAAGCTAAGTCTGGTCGTGTACAACTCATTAGATACATCAAACTTCCGATGACTCTAGCGTATTCTGTCTGAGAATCGCTACTCCCTCGGTGTTTACCAAGGTGAACATTTACGTCTATCGGCGTCTTAGCTATCTTTGTATCATCCTTGTTGAATTTCTCAAGGATCTTGTCAATGTAGTGGGATTGGCTCAAGCTCAGACCATCCGGTCTTCTTAGTATTTTGATTCCAAGAATCACATCAGCCAGACCCAAATCTTTCCTATCGAATCGTGCGTTCAACATGTCCTTGGTGGACTTGACCATCCTATCGTTGCTTCCAACGATGAGAATGTCGTCTACGTACAGACATAAAATCACATACCCTTCAGATGTGTCCTTAAAGTATACGCACTTATCCGACTCATTTATCTTAAAACCGTTGCTCATCATTACTTCGTCAAACTTATCATGCCATACTTTTGGCGCTTGTTTAAGACCGTATAATGATTTCACAAGTTTGCAGACCTTCTTTTCTTGGCCCGGGACCTTAAACCCTTCGGGTTGTTCCATATAGATTTCTTCATCTAGTTCGCCATTTAGAAAAGCTGTCTTCACATCCATTTGGTAAACATCCAAGTTTCGTAAGGATGCAAATGCGATGATCATTCTGATAGAATCTATCCTAGTCACAGGCGCGTAAGTAT